CTCTCATCTTTTTAAGTGGGAGAACTTGCACAATTGGTGGCTGACTAAATACTTTTTTGCCCCACTGTACATTGTTGCTAGTGATTTTTGCATCTGTGGAGAATGGCGGGTTTTGTTCTCTTGAAATTCTCTTTCCCATTTAAGATTTTTTATTTGTCCCACTGTCTTTGGGAGCACTTTCCAGTTTTTTGGTTGTCTCTGCTATTGTACTCTGCTAAAATTAATGCATGCTTTTGAAAAATATGGAAAGTTTTAATTCAGGTTGCTTGTAATTATTTCTTTGTTTTGGAAATTATATACAATAGATTCTTTTTTCCTCCTAGGAGCCACTGGAGAAACAGTTGTCTAATCCAACCTATCTTGTTGCTGACTTCAGCAAACCTGAGGTTAGTTTACTTGGAATATTTAAAGATAATTGAACTTAAAATCAGTTTATTAAGATGAAATGTGCACAAGTTTTATGTTTGTCTTAACTTCCCATGCTGTGCTTTGTTACTGAAGAATTCCTGGGTTAATTAATGTCATTTCCTTTTGCCTCCAAATCAGAAACTGCAGTATTCAAATTAAGGGTAAGCCAGAATACAAAATCAACTCCACGTCATTGTTAGATTCTGTTTTGCTCTGATGTGGTAGGCTTGGTTTGCAGTTTAGATGTAACAGGGTATATGGTTACTGAACACAGAATGATTATAAAATGCCAAAAAAGGATATTTAGGCAAGCACAAGACTCATAAATGTCTTGCCTTAATCTTGAGATGTTGCACATGACTTGGATTATTAATTTTGCTTATATGCTGCTTTTCCAAAATAAATTGTACTCAAAATAGTGCAAAATAAACATAAATGTATTTAAATATAAAATATTTTTATAGATATTTAGATTCAGCAAAACGTTCAACAATATGATAACATAACTTAAATTTAATACAGATCACAGTACAGAGCAAAGTGAAGAGGCTAATAAATAATAATTGAAGATAACCCATGCTAACAATACTAATTAACTTCATTTTAAGTGTCATAGCATAGAATAAATAAATTCATAAACATTTGACTTCATTCTGTTGATCTTTTCTGTTATACATTAAAAAAACCTGAACATTTTTAGTTGATATGTGTATTTATACACCAATGTATATACAACCCACTCCAGAGAGTGGTTTATTTATTTATTTGGTAAATTTATATAGTTGCCCATCATATGTGACTATGGGCAGCAAGCAAGGTTAAAAAAGAAGAGTACAACAAGTAATGAAAAAACATAAAAACAAAAAGCATTAAAAACCTTAAAAGCATTAAAACCATAAAACATAAATGTGTGGGGAGCACAGTCAGTTTCCTTAACAATATAATCACCTTATAGACTCCATATCTACATTACTGGATTCCTAGGCCAGATGGCAAAGCCATGTTTTCAGTCTTTATTATTATTTAATTTAAATTAATTTAAATAATATTATTTAAATATTAACTATTAATATTTAATATTGGACATACACACATAGACATGTATGTATGGTAATGGCGTTGGGATTGGATGAGTGTTTGCGGAGCTCGTAAATTTGGATGGTCTAGGGTATTATTGGTTTGAGGTAGAGGAACCCTACGTTGGTAGTTTGCAGAACCAGGGGGGTCTTAAAACCCACAGCTACTTAGTCTTGCCAGAGTTGAGCCAAGCCTATTCTCCCCTATCCAGACCCACACAGCCTCCAGGCACTGGGCAGCCTGTATCAACAAATGACCTCTCCATGTGGCTTCTGTGGCTGTGCTTGTTCTGTGTAACAGCATCCTCCCAGTGATCCTGGTGGCTCTGATCCTGATAGACTTTCATAAGGTTCTGAAGACCTGGCTGTTCCTCCAGGCTTTTGGGCCAGGCAGTTAGGTGAGCTCCCTGTTGATGTGGTTTTGTTTTGAGGGTTATTGCTTAATTAGTGCATTATGGGTTTATACTGTTATAGTTTTAATCGTTGTACATTGCCCAGAGTCACTCCTTGTGAGATGGGCAGCTGTATAAATTGTATGTATGTATGTATGTATGTATGTATGTATGTATGTATGTAAAAATAAATACTTTAAAAAGCAGTGTTTTGCAATGTTAATGCCAGAATACTGAGGAATATGAGAGTTTTTGATTACTGCCTGCTAAGCTGAGTTGACCATCCCCTTAAAATCCTTGCCTTTGTCACCAGTTATATTTAAAAATAAGTAAAAGTTGTAAAAGAAAAAAAATTGCACTTGTAAAAAGAATTTAAGTATTTTGCTGAGATACGCAAAGAAGAATAATGGTGAATATTTGAAAAAGAAGCTCAGGCTGCACATTATTGTAAATTAAAATATATTGAACAAAAACAAAGAAGAATCTTGTAGCATGTTCTATGTTAACAGGATTTGTTAGGATTAGTGTCAATTTTATCAGATTTGTTAACATTAAAGATGCCAATATGTATTTTGCTCAGCAGGCTTTAAACTGTGAAAGCTTATGCCACAAGATTCGTTATTGTTTTTGCTGAATAACAGCATAATGTGGTTATCCTTTGGAAAACTGTGTGATTCCTTAACTTCTTATTGTACGTTGTTGTCTTCCCTTTATAGGCACCTTTGCAGATTCATATTGCTATGCTTGCCTTGAATGAATTCCAGGAGAGTTTTGCTCGCATGCCAAACATTGGGTAATACGTCTATAACCATAGTTACATAAATATTATAATTAGTGGGTGTAAATATTATTAGATTTATATTGGCTTATTTCTTCATTTAATTAATTTACTTGCAATCCTGCACAGACTTAAGCTGCTTAAAGTCTTATTTATTGCAGTGGAATTGAAGCTGTTTAATTGTAAATATGAGGCAGTTTAGTTAAGTGATTAAGGCACCAGGCTAGTCCTGCCTTAGGCACAGCCAAAAAAAAAAAAAAGCTTCTCTCCCTTTTTTCCTTTCTCTTGTGGGGAGGAGAAGGAGTTAAACATGAAGCTCAATGTCTAATTCAGGAATAACTTGATTGATGCTTTTGAATCACTTTTTTGCATCTGCTGTTAGTGGAGTTACTGTTTTGTTAGGTTTTCATTACTTCAGTCTTTCAGTATTGGATAAGTTCCAACCTCCTGGACCTAGAAGACAATTGTACAAACCTGACTTGTTTCAAATTGCCCTGCCTTGGAGAGGCTTGATAATTGCCTCTTATTTATTCTGTATTCCAGCTGAACAGCTGGAACCTTCCATCATCCTTGGTCTGATGGAATAATTGAGGAAACTAAAGTATTAAGTTGCACCATAGCTCAGAAAAATTGCAACCTGTTTCACTATTTCAGGAAATCAAATTAATAACTCAAGCAAAGGTTGGGCAACCATCAGTTAGGGATGCTTTCATTTGGTTTCCTACACAGAGGAGGCTTAGGTTTGATGGGCTAAATGGTCCCTTTCAGCTCAGTGATTTTACCTCTTTTGGCCTGTTTCTCTAAACAAAACATTTCCAGATTATCTCCATTCATCTACCATCATGAGAGTCTTCTGAAGCTGGGGTATAAAAACACTTTAAAAGCTTTCTTACGATGTGGTTTTTTAGACAATTGTACTGTTGTACAGATAGTCCTCAACTTACGATGACAATTGGGACTGGAACTTCCATTGCTAAACGATGCAGTTGTAAAGCATGACCGCATCACTTAATGGCAGCAATCCCTGCAGTCCTAATTGCTGTCATTAAGTGAGGAGCACAGGTCATTAAGCAAGGCAGCTTCCTGCCAGCTTCCCACAACCAAAGTCAGTGGGGAAGCCAGCAGGAAGTTTCAAGTCTCAGGCTAGTAGGCAGGTGGCTACTGCTGGGTGGGGGAGGGAGTGAGGGGGTGCAGAGTGTTTGGGAAGGATCCATGAGGATGCATGTGAGAGGTGCCATGTGGGTTGGGAAGGGTGCACTGGGATGTGAGGGGGTGCATGAGAGGCGCTGCATGGGTTGGGAAGGGGTCAGAGAGAGCATGTGGGGGTGCAGTGCGGGTTGGGAAGGGTGCGTGGGGTGCACAAAAGGTGCTGTGTGGGTTGGGAGGGTGCAGAAGGGCTGGGGTGCGTGAGCGGCCAGCATGGTGTGAACGCAGAGGGGCTGAGGAAGGTGCACAGTGGGGGAGACTTACTCCAGCGACTTGCAACATTCTCTGCCAGCTTCCCCATTGACTTTCTGGTGAAGTTGGCAAGAAAGGTTGCAAATGGTGATCACGTGATTATGGGGCTGCAGTTAGAGCTGAATTGGGAAACCATACAATTTGTTCTTTGTCTTAAATCAGGGCTTATAATTATTGCTGCAAAATCAATGCTATGGAAACTGACAGACTCCCAAAATTGTGTTTGTTAGACAAAATCTCAATTACGGACTTCTTGGATAGCACAATTGACAAATTACATTAGGAGCTGTGGTCTCCCGTCTCATATCCAAATGTTTCCAGAGTACAAGCTAAGAAGATTGCCGCACAAAGAATCTTGGATATAGAAGCTCAAAAAGATATAGCCACCCTTAGTAACATTGGCTCACTGTAATGGATGAGCCATTATAAACGTACCTTCCAAATTGCCAAGTATTTAAACACAGAAATGCCCAAATACCTTAGGGCAGTATTTACTTGAGCAAGATTTGAGCAGTTGGACACAATGGTTAAATATGGAAGTCCGTTGTAATGAACGCACTTGTATTTGCAGAGCTCCAGAGACAGAAGACATAACACATATGTTATGTGAATGTCAACTGTATAAAAAAGAGAGGAATCAGTATCTTGGACCGCACTTTAGACAAATGATCTATTGAGATCCTTATATTAAAACAACATATTTAATGTGTGGTCAGAATCCAAAAATTACATATAATATGGCCCTTTATTTGAACAAAACAGTACAGTTGAGATCTGCATATGCGGATCTGATCAGAGTAAATTGTAGGGGTGATACAGAAATATGATTTGCGTCTTTTTTCTTTCTTTTTTAATTTTAATTTGTTTTTCTTATCCTATTTTTAATATATGGTCTTAATAATGTCTCACGTTTCATATGTTTTATACTCTGGATCTTGATATGGCCTAATGGCTAATCAATAATAATAAACTAAACTAAACGTGATGGGGTGCTTGGCAACTGGTCATAAGTACAAATGGGTTGCCAAGTGCCCAGATCATGATCATGTGACTGTGGGGACACTGCAATGGCTGTAACTTCAGGGACCAGTTGTTAATTCTTTTCTTCAGCACTGTCGTAACTTTGAATGGTTGTAAGTCAAGGCCTACCTGTGTTTTAGTGTTAGAGTCAGGATCTCAGCCTATAATGTCATGAAAGTCTTAGGACCCTCAGTCATTAGTAGTGATGATGGAAAGTAGTGGGAAACAATATCTTCTGATTTTACTTTCTTGACCAGCGACACAAATGCATTAGTATCCTCCAGAGAGGCACATTGTTGCTTAATGAATCAGCCTCCCATTTATTAGATTCTATTGATGATGGATAGCTGAAAGAGTTATTACAGCTCATTGAGCACTTATTTTCTTTTGATTGTATCAAGTCTCATAATCCTTATGACTTTCCTGTACATGGGTAAAAGCTTTCTATATACATTACAACAAAGTGGCAGAAGGAACCACTCCAAATGACCTATCTGCATTACAGCATTGTCTGCATAAATCAATCCAGTACATATTTTCAGTATAAAAATAAGCTATTGGTATAAAAAAATGTAAAACATCCAGTGCTCAAGTGAGCTCTTTTAAAGAGTAAAAGAGGATGAAAGGGCCAAGTCCAAATGGAATGGGACACTGTCTGGAATAGGTGGTATAAGCTCCCTTCTCCAAAGGGGTTAATCAAGCAATAACAACATCACATTGAACTACTTTAAAAAAACTCAATAAAAGATGTCAGATTTCTCCAACTCAGTGCCTTCCAAATATGTTGGGATTATAATTTTCAGCGTTCTGTGCTTATTGGTTAAGGATACCTCAAATACTTGATTGGGTATTTCTGTTCTACTTTTCTAAGGATTTGTGACATTTTTGAAATGTGTATTATTGTTCATTTTTATTATGTTTCTATTTTTACATAATTCTTTGGTTATGAATTGTTTTCTATTTTTGATATCAAGATTGTGGGATAATTTTTATTTTTTTATACTAAGATATTTTATTGGACAGTATTTCTTGTTACTTGGATGTTTTATTGTATTTTATCTTGTAAGCTGCTGGTAGTCTGAATAATTCAGCAGTGTACACATTTAATAAATAATATTTATAAGAAGTTGTACATTGTAATAGTGTGTTGGGGAGAAACAGTGAAAAGTTGCTTCCTAGGAAAGAAAATTCTTTCTGATCAGTTGCTGATCAGAGATAGTATTGTGGAAGGGAGCCTTTATCAGCACTAGACTTGAATAAAGCTGATAATCATATGAGGGCATTTCCTTGTGGCTTTGAGAAAGGGAACAAGTTGATGGGCTGGGTGGGGAATTCTCATTTATAGCACAAGTTAAATCATTAATTAGTATTCAGAGGCTTCCCATGTCTGGTGTACAATGGAATAACTGTTGAATAAATTCTTTTAGCTTCTCCTAAGGTTTTTCTGTTCTTCTCATAGGGTACTCATTCTGGCTTTTGAATAAACAAATCCAAAATATCTAAGCATTCTTTTAGTTTCTGCAGTTGTGTAAATTGAGATTTTTTTCTGTTTTCTGCTTAATTAAATTTAGAAATAATCTACTTTGTAACCTTATTCCTATTGCCTTTGCCAACTGTGGGGATTAGAAGGAGGTCCAGCCTCAGAAAAAATTGGCTCAATATTTATCTTCTCAGTCCAAAAATATTATCCAATGTTGGATGGTTGTTGTATCTATAAGAACAACAGAAAGCAATGAGGTAAAGAAATTAACTTTTAGTTCTTGAAATTGTAAGATTTTGCATTAGTTTTTCTTTCAGTTACTGACTAAAATTTTAAATTCCAATTTTAAGTATAAGATTTAAATGTGTGTTCAGCAAGGTTTAGGGTTAGGGTTAGGGTTAAATAGGGTTAGAATTCAGAATTCTCTTAACAGTTCCAAAACCTATAATTGACAGTTCAAAAACACTTTTGCAGAATCAGTTTGTTTACCTTATATTTTATGCTGAAGATCACTTGTGGGCTTATAATTGAAGAGCAGATAGGGAGATGCAACATGGATCTACTAACATTCTGCTTATAATCTCCTAAATGAGATGCAGTAGAGAAATATGGGAAATCATGTGCTTATTACTTCCTGTGCTTTTCATGATACTTTGCATATTATGCATCAGATTTACCCTGCCTTGTTCATTACCATTCAGAACCTTGAAAAGAAGGCAACAGTGGGGTAAAAGAAAGAAGAAAAAATTCTCATTTATAGCACAAGTTAAATAATTAATTAGTATTCTAGGATGTGATAGCCATGGGGAATGATGGACTTCTTTTTCTTTCACATTTGATAAAAGCTATTACCAGATTTCTTATGAAGTGTGTGTGTGTGTGTGTGTGTGTGTGTGTGTGTGTGTACATGCAGAGCAGCTGGATAGCATAGTGGTTAGAGC